TTTCCATATACCTTCCAAAACAATAATCGAAAATTTGATAATTGAATTTTACTACTATTTAATAAATTGTTCACTTTGTAGAAAAAATATCCCTGATGCGCCAAGAATTTTTTTTTGTCCATTTCTCCTGCATATGATCTTTCAGAACATTAAAAAATGAAGTGTGAAACAAACTTTCATTATGATACTCAAATTCTATTTTGTTTAATAATTGTAATTAATAAACATTCATTGTGCCTTTTATGCAAGAATATTTCCAAATATTTTTGAATTAAACAAATCATCCACAGCTGCAGAAAGACCATGCATTCTTCTTTTAAAGAAGCAAACTTGTGAGTCCCCTACCAGTTTTACTGGAGGGGGTAAGGTTTACTCTTTGTCCATCTGTCTGTCTGTCCGTCCACAAAACTGGATCCCATGATAACACAAGAAAAATTTAAAGTATTCTATGAAACTTAAAATATGGAAAGATGGCAGGCTGGAGACTTATAATGCTTGTCCTAATTGTGTTGCCTTGAAAAAGTCTACATATAGGGTTTACTTTTGTTGTTGCGGCATTGATAAGGCATCCCTTTAGACTTGTCCGGAGCATAACTCAACTATAGGTTGGATTGACTCCAAACTTGGTATGCATGCTTCTTTTAATGACTTTATTAAGTGCAGTGCAGACAAATCATTACTCTGCACTTATTATTTTTATAGTAATTGCCCTACCAGGCCAATTTTCTACACTTTACAAGCATAATTATTGACTTGAAACTTCATAGGATGATGGATCTCATTGAGAAGAAGTGCAGTACACAAGAACGTGTACTTTGCACTTCATGATTTTTGGCCGGGTTGCACTGGTGCAAATCCGGGTTATAGTATGGTGAATGCCGGGTGGCGGGCATTAGATTTCAGGTCTGTCGCTCATCCACTTCCTGTTTATCCACTTAGTTAAATTAGTTAAATTTTTTTACATTAGGTAGGAAATTTTCGTAGCAGTTTTCTCAGCAACTACTTATCACAGCCTCTTTATATTTGGCATACATTATTGACACATGGACCCATACCTTGGGATTTGATTTCAGGTCTGTCGCTTATCCACTTCCTGTTTATCCACTTAGTTATATTAGTTAAATTTTTCGACATTAATGGTAGGAAATTTTCGTAACAGTTTTCTCAGCAACTACTTATCACAGCCTCTTGATATTTGGCATACAGCATTGACACATGGTCCCATACAGTGGGATTCCAATTTAGGTGTGTAGCTCATCCACTTCCTATTTACCCACTTAATTAAATTTAGGTGTGTAGCTCATCCACTTCCTAGTTACCCACTTAATTAAATTTTCGACATTAATGGGTCAATGGTAATTTTTTTTAGTTAAATCACAGCCTCATGATATTTGTTGTACAAATGCAACCCGGCCTTTTCTGTCTTTGACCCATTTTTGAGTTATAGCCCTTTGTTAATTTTTGGCCGGGTTGCACATAATGCAAACCCGGGTTATAGTATATAAAATGTTGGGTGGCAGGCAGGCAGGTAAAATTTTCGTAACAGTTTTCTCAGCAACTACTTAATCACAGCCTCTTGATATTTAGCATACAGCATTGCCACATGGTCCCATACTGTGGGAATCGATTTTGGATCTGTCACTTATCCACTTCCTGTTTAGCTTAGGGTGAGCTTTTAGGATCGTTGAATGTCAGCCGTCTGTTGTCCGTCGTTTGTCGTCCGTCATCCGTCCACACTTGTTCGATAACTCTCTAGCGGTAACATTTTTGCCTCAATCATCATAAAACTTTGTCAGGATGCTTATCTAGTTGTCTCCCGCCTTTTCGAAGAAAAAAGGGGGATATAGAAATAGGCTCTGTCCGTCCATCCATCTGTCGGTCTGTCCGAGCAAACATTTGATATTTATGAGTTTCATTCCGTAGTTAAATAAAGAACAAAAACTCATAAAATTCAAATTAAGAGCTATTTTTTTTGTTTTTATGAGCTAATTTTGCTTATGGACGTTGGTCCATGTGGTGTTTATGAGCTGATTTGCCTCATAAATATCAAAAGTTGGTACATCCGTACGTACTCACAAAATGGTACTTACGAAGGTTGTCCCAAAAGTATGTGACAAATTTTACAGATGGTTCATTTTTAACGCCAATAGATAATAATTCACAAATATAACCTATAAGTTAATTATTTGACATTACAGCAAATCATTTACAAAATATCTACTTTAGTTACTTAAAAATTGCCAATGTTTACGAAATTGGTTCGAGTTCCCGGCGCACGTCAAAAAATTTGCATTTTGTTATGAATAGGCTTTAATAAATTGCGTAAATTTCACATATCTGATAATATTTCTGCACAATATATCGTTGGCTTTCTCTGCTGCTATGCTGACATCATCATAGAAAATTTCAGTTAAATAACTTAAGAAACGAACGAGATAGGGCAAAATGAAAATATCTCATAGGAAAGTTAAAATGGCGACGTCCGAAGAATTTGCGGCGCAGCAAACAGTTATAAGGTGTTTCGTGAGTATTTTGAGATGACACCTGTTAAGATTATTCAAGTAATGTACCAGTTAGAACAGTTAAAAACATGACCCGATCATTTGTTTACAAAAGATCTGAACGGAACCAGAGTACTGCACTACAGAAAGCGAAAATAAGGAAGAGATGAATGAGAATGCGGATCTCCGTCGCCTATTTCCTACAGCTTAAGCAGGTGCAACGAGACCGGAAGCTCGCTTATTGCAAGAAATTAATGTATGTCATCAAAACATTCAATAGAGACAAACAACAACATAGTTTAAGTCTGTAATTCATGATTAATGAATAAAACTGCACCGTTTATGCGTTGAATGCTGTGGACAGTTTTTGAGAAAGGCGCTTAATAAAGATTTTACGCCGTCTTTGACATCTTTGACGTTTGACGTGCGCCCCGAATCAAATAGTTGCCATGGTATTTATGGCATATTTTTGTTGTTTGTTGATATTTTTCTATGTAAATTTGTGAAAATAATTCCATAATATGGTTTTATGACATTAAAATATTAAATTCATAACTATTTTATTTAGCTTTTTAACAATATTGTCACAGAATATTGGGACAACCCTCGTATGTGACTTTTCCTTTGATCTTTTTGGCTCGACTATACGAAGTATTTGGAGAGCTGTCCAACTCGTCCTTGTCCAGATTTCAGATTAAAGTTTTGGTGCAGTAAAATATTTTTCACTATAACTTTGTCATTTCTTAATGTATCAACTTCAAACTTCAAATATATGTGCCTTATCATCAACCACATCTTGTGTGATAAGGTTCTTAACTCTAGCACCATTATTTTCAGATTTTTCTCTCCTTGAACTTAGAATTTACCTTAAAAAATACAATTTTTTACTGTTACTTCTTTATTTCTTAAGGGATCAACCTCATACTTCAAATATATGTACCTTATCATCATCCCCATCTTATGTGACAAGGTTCATAACTCTAGCACCAATATTGCATGAATTATCTCCCCACTGTACTGTAATCCATTGTTCTCCAAGTCACACAAGTACCTCTGGGTTCGTACAGGTAACAACCAGACCCCTACCTCCATGGTCAAGGTCGCACTTGCTCATTCAAGGTCAACATTGTCTATTTGAGGGTATATGTTGTGTCCAGTTCATAACTTTCTTATCTTTGAAGGGATTTTGTAAATACTTGCCACAATTGTTCACAATAATGAGATGATGTGTCATGCGCAACAATAGGTCACCTACCTCTAAGGTCAAGGTTTTCATAGATCGAAAAATTTTGTAAATACTTGCCACAAATAGTCACTATAGTAAGACAATGTATCATGCATAACACCTGCATCCCTACCTTCAAATTCAAGGTCACACTTAGAGGTCAAAAATTAACATAGTCTGTTTTAGGGTATATTTTGTGTCCAATCAAGAACTTCTTTGGGATTTTAAAATGACTAGGCACAAATAGTCACAATAAGGAGACTATATGTCAAGTACAACACCTGCACCCCTACCTTCAAGGTCAAGGTCAAAAGTTAACAGTCTGTTATATGGTATATTTTGTGTCCTGTCCATAACTTCTTCATAGATCAAGGGATTTTGAAAATACTTGGCACAAATAGTCACAATGATAAGATGATATGTCATGCGTAACACCTGTGTCCCTACCTCCAAGGTAAAGGTCACACTTAGAGGTCAAAGATTTACATAATCTGTTATAGAGTATATTTTGTGTCCGATCTATAACTTCTTCATAGTTCAAGGGATTTTGAAAATACTTGGCACAAATTGTTACAATAATAAGAAGATATGTCATGCATAACACCTGCACCCCTACCTCCAAGGTCAAGGTCACACTTTGAGGTCAAAGCTTTACATGATAAATTTTTAATTTCCGTGTTTCATTTTATTTCTTTAATAAATTTATTGTTGCATTTGCAGATCTAGCATTGATCATAAGTTTGGACTGAAAGTCCTGAGATTAATACCTGAATCTTTTGAAATAGCACAATTTTATGCTTCGTATAAAAATTCCCCGAGGCGGGGACGTTAGTAACTCTGTAACAAATCTTGTTGTAATCAAACATGGTATTTAGCAACCTTATATGGAAACTTCTGGTATTGCTTTTGGACCCCCTGGGGTCAAGGTCACTGATACTAGAAATAAAAAAATGGTTTCTTTGAATGATATTGTAATCAAACATGGTATGTTGCAAGCTATATAATGTAAAGACCACAGATGGTATTGCTTTTAGACGGATGGATTGCAATTTATAGAAAAGAAATTTGGTACAAAACTTTGTAAGTTATAAGTTCAAATTTTTCTTCAGACCACTTATCTTACAAAAAGTCAAAGTTGCTAATGGGGGTTATAATCACCTGAAGTGATAGCTGTAGTTAATTTTTACACAATTTCATATTATATAGATTTTCATGTAATTAAAGTCTATTATACAAAAAAATTGTCATTTGGACCAGTATGTTTAATCTTTATTATAGCTAACACTGTGATGTGATACATTACATAATTGTCAATTTAGTTTCAGGAAATGCCATCCTATTGAATTAATAAGTAACAGAGAGGTCAAACTGTGCATAGCTTATAGAAGTGATAATATCGGGTAAATTGAAAACTTTAAAATATCTCCATTTATATAATGACATCTCAGTAAATTGTAACACCACAATAAAATTAAAATATTTTTACTATCACCAATTTTTAGTTAGACTAAATATATTTTAGGAGTACTACCTGACTTGACCCCATTTCAGTTTTTTGTCCACCTCACTTTTTACTGAACCATTTAGCTAGACTATTCGCAGAATAATCGAGCTAATGCAGTCACCCCATTTGTTGGCTTTGGCGTCCCTGTGGTTAGGTTTTTGTGTGTAAGCTGGTATCTCCATAACTACTGAAGGGAATGGATTGAAACTCCACACACTTGTCCTCTGTGATTATCTTACATGATTGGCACAAGTCCCATAACTCTGATTTGCATTTTGTGCTCCCACTTTAGGGGGGGGGGGGCATTTAGATTTACGCATCTCCGTCCGTTCTTCTGTCTGTCCGTTCTCTTTTGTGTCGCATGTAAAGTATTTGACCTAGAGTCTAGAAACTATACAGGAATGTTGATCAGGGTTTGTTGTTGTACACCTGTGTATTTTCGTGTGGATTTATATTGTATTTTTAGAGTTATTGCCCTTGACTTAGTAAAATTTTGCAATTTTCAACTTGTCGCATGTAACTCAAAAAGGATTTGGTAGAGTCATGAAACTTTACAGGAATGTTGATCAGCATGTGTAGTTGTGCACCTGGGATTTTTGTGTGGATATTTTTAGTATTTTAGAGTTATTGACTTAGTAAAAATTTACAATTTTCAACTTGTGTTGCATGTGACAAAAAGTATTTGACCTAGAGTCATGAAACTTTACAGGAATGTTGCTCAGCGTGTGTAGTTGTGCACCTGGGATTTTCGTCCGGATATTTTTAGTATTTTAGAGTTATTGCCATTGACAGTAAAAAATTACAATATTTAACTTGTGTTGCACATAACTCAAAAAGTTTATGAATGTTGGTCAGCATGACTTTTGTACTTATGCACCTTGGGGTTTTCTTGTGGTTTTATTCAGTATTTGTAGTATTTGCCCTTTACTTTCCCTTTGACATAAGATTGACAAATCTGTGGAGTGTAGGGGCACAAACACGTGTCCTATGGACACATTTCTAGATACACTTTGAACTTTGTCTTGGACATACCGTATAAGTACTTATTTCTGCGGGCTTAATATTGTGCGATTTTTTGTTAAAATTAGGGGTTTAAATTTCTGTGTATCTTATTTCTGCGGAATCATCATTCTGTTTTTATACACCCGCACAACAAAGTTGTAAGGGGGGTATACTGGAATCAGCTCGTCCGTCCGTCCAGCTGTCCGTCCGGCTGTTTGTCGGTTTTTTCTTGTCCGCCCAATAACTTAAGATTCCTTTGACCCTTAGTCTTCATATTTGGCATGGAGGTTAGTCATGATTAGTAGATGACCCCTATTGATTTTGAGGTCACTAGGTCAAAGGTCAAGGTCACGGGCCTTGACTTCAAAACGCTTGTCCGCCCAATAACTCAAGATTCCTTTGACCTACAGTCTTCATATTTGGCATGGAGGTTAGTCATGATTAGTAGATGACCCCTATTGATTTTGAGGTCACCAGGTTAAAGGTCAAGGTCACAGGGGCCTTGACTTCAAAAAGCTTGTCCGCCAAATAACTTAAGATTCCTTTGACCCTTAGTCTTCATATTTGGCATGGAGGTTAGTCATGATTAGTAGATGACCCCTATTGATTTTGAGGTCACTAGGTCAAAGGTCAAGGTCACGGGCCTTGACTTCAAAAAGCTTGTCCGCCCAATAACTTAAGATTCCTTTGACCTACAGTCTTCATATTTGGCATGGAGGTTAGTCATAATTAGTAGATGACCCCTATTGATTTTGAGGTCACCAGGTTAAAGGTCAAGGTCACAGGGGCCTTGACTTCAAAAAGCTTGTCCGCCCAATAATAATGATCAGTACCAAGGTCTGGACTACTTCTCTTATACCACTAATGCAATTTCAATGAAACTTTACAGAATTGATCTGTCGCTCAAGTCCTACGCATATTGCACGGGTTTTCTGGTTGAATGATTTTTGGCCGAGTTATGGCCCTTTGATAAAAAGGTGTTTTTCTCTGTGTGTTGCCAGATACACCAAAGCTTGTCGGACTACTCCTCATAAACTACTGGTGCAATTTTATCAAAACTTTACAGGAATGATCAGTACCAAGTCTAGTTGTGCACTGTCCGTCTGTCTGTCTGTCTGTCACAAAACTTGTCCCAATATGAAATTGGCCATCATGAGGCGACACATGTGATCACTGATCGCTCTTGTTAACTTAGAAATTTTGGCTTCAGTTCTTTGTAAAGTCAAATATCTCAATTATTGCTTAAAATATTCAATTGAAAAATTTACAATACTTTTTTATAGTAACAATGTACATCAGTTTGCAAAGTTGCATAACTCTGTCTGCAATATTTGCAGAATTATGCCCCTTTGAAACTTAGAAAATTTGGTTAAAGGTCTTAAGAACTATAAAAGATATTTACTTGAAACTTTAAACATGTAGTAAGGGTCATAATTGAAGGTCATATCTCAAAATTCATTACTCTGCCATGTATTTTGACTGAATTATGCTCCCTTTTGTACTAAAAAAATCTCCTTTTTCTTGATTAAGTTTAACATGCAAGTTTTGCATATCTCTGAAACTATTAAAGATACAAACTTGAAACTTCATATATATATTTGTGGTCATAAATGATGACCAATGAACAGCTTATCTGTGTCATTTATTTAAGCTTATTTATCTCCCCCCCCCCCTTTTTAGCTTAACTTTTTTTTTTTTTTTTAAAAGGAGAGGTATTGTGATTTTTGTGCCCCAACTTTAGGTTTAGGCATTTAGATTTACCCTTGTCCGTCCGTCCGTTCTTCTGTCCATCCGTTCTCTTTTGTGCCACACGTAACTCAAAAAGTATTTGACCTAGAGTCATGAAACTTAAGAGGAATGTTGATCGGCATGTGCAGTTGTGCACCTGGGTATTTCCGTGTGGATTTATTCAGTATTTTTAGAGTTATTGCCCTTGACTTAGTAAAAATTTGCAATTTTCAACTTGTGTGGCACGTAACTCAAAAAGGGTTTGACCTAGAAGTGTGTGAAACTTTACTGGAATGTTGATCAGCATGTGTAGTTGTGCACCTGGGTATTTTTGTGTGGATTTATATAGTATTTTTAGAGTTATTGCCCTTGACTTAGTAATTTTTTTCAATTTTCAACTAATGTGTCCCATGTAACTCAAAAAGGATTTGACATAGAGTCATGAAACTTTACAGGAATGTTGATCAGTATGTGTAGTTGTGCACCTGGGTATTTTCATGTTGATTTATTTAGTATTCTAGAGTAATTGCCCTTGAGAGTTTTTTTTGCAATTTTCAACTTGTGTTGCTGTAAGTCAAGAAGGATTTGACATATAGAGTCATGAAACCTTACGGGAGGAAATGTTGCTCAGCATATGTAGTTGTGCACCTTGGGTTTCGCTTGTGGATTTGTCACAGTATTTGTAGAGTTATTGTCCTTGACTTAGTAAAAACCGTTTCATTATGTTGTGTTATTTGTTCCTTGAGTGCTTGATTTAAAATCAACCAACTTTACAGGAATAATGATCAACATCACTAAATTACAGGAATAATGATCAACATCACTGTGAATCTATGCACCTTGGACTTTGCATGTGGATTTTTTAACCAGGTTTTCAACGAAAACCGGGTTATTGTAATGCCGAAGTCGGCAGGCGGGAGGGCGTCAACTTTTGGTTTCCGCTCAATAACTTGAGTTTGCTTTGGCCTATTGACACCAAACTTGGTGTATGGATAGCTTATATCAAGAGGCATTTTGGGATTGCTACCCAGGTGTCTGTGATTAAGGTCAAGGTCACTGTTACTAAAAATAGAAATTCAGTTTCCGCTCAATAACTTGAGTTTGCTTTGGCCTATCAACACCAAACTTAGTGTACGGATAGCTTACATCAAGAGGCTGCTTGGGATTGCTACCCAGGTGTCTGTGATCAAGGTTAATGTATTTAGTTTTCATGCTATAACTTGAGTTTGCTTTGACCTTTTGACACCAAACTTGCTGAGTGGCAGCTTTGGATTGCCACTTATATATCTGGGAGCAAGGTCAAGGTCATTTGCTTGCAATAGAATTTTCAGCTTCTTCTCAATTACTTCAGTGCACTTTGACCTATTGATTGCTGTCACATCAAAACTTGGTCGTTGAAAACCTGGTTTTCGTCGCATTGCGGCGCTTCTTGTATTATAATTCTTTTCCACATGGACATGGTTTCCATAGAATTTGGCTGCTTCTCTAACTGTTCTTGAACAGGCCATTAGGCTTAAGTTCACAGACACAGTCATTTCAGACAAAAAATGTCAGGTTCACAGACTTTTGTCACCAATTATCATTTGTTATAATACATTTACAGTAGACTTTAAGCAATCTTGAATTCTGTAATTAGCTCACCTGAGCATATGCTCAGGATGAGCTATTAGGATCACTCTTTGTCCGTCGTCCGTTGTCTGTTCACACTTTTAAAATGACATCTCCTCTGAAACCATAAGGCAGATCATAATGAAACTTCACAGGGATGTTTCTTGTGTGAAGCCTTAACAAAGTTGTTCAAAGAATTCCATTCCATGCAGAACTCTGGTTGCCATTGCAACCGAAAGAAAAAACTTTAAATATCTTCTTTTAAAAAGTCCTAAGAGCTAGAGCTTAGATATTTGGCATGAAACATCTTCTAATGAGTATCTACAAAGTTTGTTCAAATAAAAGCCCTGGAGTCAAAATTGGCCCCGCCCCAGGGGGTCTTTGATTTTCCCTTTATGCATATAGTTAAAACTTAAAAAATCTTCTTTTAAAGAACCCAAAGAGCTAGAGCTAAGATATTTAGCATGAAACATCTTCTAATGAATGTCTACCAAGTTTGTTCAAATAATAGCCCTGGGGTCAAAATTGGCCCTGCCCCAGGGGGTCATTGATTTCCCCTATATGCATATAGTAAAACCTTAAAAAATCTTCTTTTAAAGAACTCAAAGAGCTTGAGCTAAGATCTTTAGCATGAAACATGTTCTAATGGATGTCTACCAAGCTTGTTCAAATAAAAGCCCTGGGGTCAAAATTGGCCCAGCCCCAGGGGGTCTTTGATTTTCCCTTTATGCATATAGTTAAAACTTAAAATATCTTCTTTTAAAGAACTCAAAGAGCTAGAGCTAAGATATTTAGCATGAAACATCTTCTAATGAGTGTCTATCAAGTTTGTTCAAATAAAAGCGCTGGGGTGAAAATTGGCCCCGCCCCGGGGGTCATTGATTTTCCTTATATGTATAAAGCAAAAACTTAAAAAATCTTCTTTGAAAAAACCCAAATAGCTTGAGTTTAGATATTAAGCATGAAACATCTTCTAGTTAGTGTCTAAAAGTTTGTTCAAATAAAAGCCCTGGAGTCAAAATTGGCCCAGCCCCGGGTGTTATTGATTTTCGTTATATTTTTATACAAAAAACTTAAAAATCTTCTTTGAAAAAACCTAAATAGCTAGAGTTTAGATATTAAGCATGAAACATTTTCTGGTAATTGTCTACAAAGTTTGTTCAAATAAAAGCCCTGGGGTCAAAATTGGCCCCGCCCCAGGGGTGTCATTGGTTTTAACTATATGTGTATAGTAAAAACTTAAAAAATCTTCTTTAAAAAAAAACCAATGAGCTAGAGCTTAGATGTTTAGCATGAAATATCTTATTATGGGTGTCTACTAAAGGAGGGGGGGAAGATCGTTGTTTTTCATTATATGTGTGTAGTAAAAACTTAACATCGTGAAACATCTTCTAATGGGTGTCTTCCAAGTTTGTTCAAATAAAAGCCCTGGGGTTTAAACTGGCCCCGCTCCGGGTGCCTTTATACAGGTGAGCGACCTCAGGGCCATCATGGCCCTCTTGTTTAAATTAGAAATTAACGAAGTTAATTCTAGAGTTTGAACAATGATAGAAAAACCTTTTACTTTTTAATAAAATCTCACTCTGAGACAATTATAATTGTTATTATCTCTATAAAATAATAGGTTTCCATTAAAAATTATAATATTTTGTCTTACTTTAAGGAGATTATTTATTGAGCTGATGTAATATTATATCTACTTGATTAATCTTGTTTATTTATTTTTAGGAATATTTGCTGAAGATGTTCAGTCATCAACACCAATCGTTTTGTCAGCGAGAGGTTTGTCCAAGACATAAGCTGATGATACGGTGGCGGTCAAACATCTGTCTCTGGACATTCACTGAGGGGACATACTCTGATGGTACTGTGGCGGTCAAACATCTGTCTCTGGACATTCACTGAGGGGGCATACTCTGATGGTACTGTGGCAGTCAAAGATCTGTCTCTGGACATTCACTGAGGGGACATACTCTGATGGTACTGTGGTGGTCAAAGATCTGTCTCTGGACATTCACTGAGGGGACATACTCTGATGGTACTGTGGCGGTCAAACATCTGTCTCTGGACATTCACTGAGGGGACATACTCTGATGGTACTGTGGTGGTCAAAGATCTGTCTCTGGACATTCACTGAGGGGACATACTCTGATGGTACTGTGGTGGTCAAACATCTGTCTCTGGATATTCACCGAGGGGACATACTCTGATGGTACTGTGGTGGTCAAAGATCTGTCTCTGGACATTCACTGAGGGGACATGCTCTGATGGTACTGTGGTGGTCAAACATCTGTCTCTGGACATTCACCGAGGGGACATACTCTGATGGTACTGTGGTGGTCAAAGATCTGTCTCTGGACATTCACTGAGGGAATGTAACTACACTACTCAGTCACAATGGTGCTGCTAAAACAACCACAATGTATGTTTAAATATGTGAAGCTATTCTGAGAAAATACTGAAGTTTTTGTTGAGCCTAAACATTTCTAATCTTCCCTTGATTTATTTAGATCACTTCAGATTTCATTATTTGAAACAGTCATATAAGTTTAAAGCAGACACTTTGAAGCAGTTGTTAAAAACGAAATATTGACCAAATTTAAGTTATTGAAATAAAGCCTTTATAATTATTTTGTACACATATATAACTGATCTGGCCTCAAGGTTATAAGGGGGAAAAAATTAGCATTGTCAAATTTTATGATTTTCATTGGTTAGTTCTGCACACACTGTACAAGTTTCTCGTTTTACAAAAATGATTAATGTATTTTTTTTCAGGAACATGTTAATTGCTGTTTTAAATTCCACTAAAGGGGCTGTGAGAATCCTGAACCGACCATTAAAGAGAATGAGTGGTAGTCTAGGTATATGCTAACAACACAACGCCCTCTATGAAGAGTAAGTATCCATACCTTGTGTTATGTTAAAAGAGTTTTTGTGAAAAATATACACATGTGATGGACTAGTGCTTTGACATTGCTCTGTCCCTGAATTATGAGAAAATCAGCTAATTAATATGTTTGCTAATTATCCCCCGCCAAAAAGGCGGCGTGGGATATAGAAATAGTCTCCGTCCGTCCTTCTGTGCGACATTTTTGCCCAGAGCATATCTCAAAAAGTATTTGAGATATCAACTTGAAACTTCATAGGTGGATAGACCTCATTAAGGAGGAGTGCAGTGCAAAGGAAAAATAACTCTACCTTGTATAATTTTTGAGTTATTGCCCTTTGTTATTTTTCAAAATTAATTTTTGTCCAGAGCATAACTCAAAAGCCCTTTGAGATATCAACATGAAACTTCATAGGTGCATAGATCTCACTCAGGAGGTGTGCAGTGCACAAGAATGATAACTCTTCCCTGCATAATTTTTGAGTTTTTGCCCTTTGTTCTTTTTCATACTATTTTGTCCGGAGCTTATCTCAAAAAGTGTTTGAGGTATCAACTTGAAACTTCATAAGTGGATAGATTTTACTGAGGAGGGGTGCAGCTCACAAGAATGATAACCTACCCTGCATTATTTTTCAGTTATTGCCCTTTGTTATTTTCAGCCATCAGTATTCACATAGGTTTCAAATCTGTAATCACTTCAGCCATTAGTTTTCATTACCAAAAGACCTCTTAAAATTGAATTATTCTGCTCTACTACATATACATTCTTCTAATGAACAAATCCATTCGGCAGGGGATGGCCATGTTGACATGGCTCTTATTTAAATGGATATAGTAAATATCATATAATTATAATATCATTTATAGTAAATCAATCCATTTGTTTCAGTGATACTTAAAAAATTTCACACACAAAAAATTTTTGTTTGTTTTTTATGCCACCGCAATCTGCGATGTGGTGGCATATAGCGATTCACCTGTGTGTGTGTTTGTGTGTGTGTGTGTGTGTTTGTGTGTGTGTGTGTGTTTGTTATATAGATTATATAGTGAACTTAAAAAATCTTCTTGTGAAAAACTACTAGTCCAATTTCAACCAAACTTGGCAGGATTGTTCCTTGGATGAAGGGCTTCCAAAGTTGTTCAAAGAATTTCATTCCATGCAGAAATCTGGTTGCCATGGCAACCAAAAGGAATTATAAGAATAAATTTCAAATATCTTCTTGTAAAGACCCAAAAGGCCTAGAGCTTAGATATTTTGCGTAAAGCATTGTCTGGTAGACCTCTAACAAGATTGTTCAAATTATAGCCCTGGGGTCAAAATTGGCCCCGCCCCGGGGGTCATTAATTTTCACTATGTACATATAGTAAAAACTTTAAATACCTTGTAAAAACCCAAAAGGCCTAGAGCTGAGATATTTTGCATAAGGCATCATCTGGTAGACCCTTACCAAGATTGTTCAAATTATAGCCCTTGGGTCAAAATCGGCCACGCCCCGGGGTCATTGATTTTCGCTATATGTACATATAGTAAAAACTTAAAACACCTTCTTGTAAAGACCCAAAAGGCCTAGAGCTTAGATATTTTGCATAAGGCATTGTCTGGTAGACCTCTACCCAGATTGTTCAAATTATAGCCTTGGGGTGAAAATCAGCCCCGCCCCAGGGGTCATTGGTTTTCCTTATATGTTTATAGTAAAAACTTAAAAAAATTCTTCTAGCAATTGACAAATGCTAGAGGTTAGATATTTTGCATGAAACATTGTGTTGTAAACCTCTAGCAAGATTGTTCAAATTATAGCCCTGGGGTCAAAATTGCCCCCGCCCTGGGGGTCATTGATTTCAATATATACATATAGTAAAAAATAAAAAAGTCTTATTGTCTGAAGGTACAAGGCTTAGAGCTTTAATATTTGTTAAATAATATCATCTAAAGGTACTCTACCAAAGTTGTTCAAATTTTGCCTCTTGTGTCAAAATTAGCCCCGCCCCTGGGAGCCATAGGTTTATCTTATATGCATGTATATAGTTAAAACTTAAAAAATCATCTTCTCTAAATTTACAAAGGATAGAGTTAAGATATTTTGCATGAAACATTGTGTAGTGAACCTCTAGCAAGATTGTTCAAATTATAGCCCTGGGGTCAAAATTTGTTCCGCCCCATGGGTCATTGATTTTCATCATGTACATATAGTGAAAAAAAAGTATATTTTTGTCTGAAGGTTCAAGGCATAGAGCTTTGATGTTTGATATATAATATCATCTATAGATCCTCTACCAAAGTTGTTCAAATGTCAAAAATTGGCCCTGCCCGCCCGGGGGGCAGTGATTCTCATTATGTACACGTATTAAAAACAGAAAATAAAACAAATGTTTTCTGAATGGGAGAAAGCTATAGCTTAGATATTTGACTTGAAATGTTGTTTCATGGACCTGTATCAAGATTGTTATTAAACCCTTGGGTCAAAATTATGCCTTGTCCAAGGAGACAGTGACCTACTTTCTTGTCCTTTGATGTACAGCAATGACATTTTGACCATGTGCACAGTTTTAGTTGTAAAATTGAACTTTGACCTAGATTTTGATAATGTGACCTACTTTCTTATCCTTTGATGTACAGCTATGAAATTTGAACCATGCGGTGGCATAGCATTTTTCTCAAATGCAATCTTGTTTGTTGATGTTTTTTTTTTAATTATTTTTAACCTATGTAACTATTTTCGATGATCAAGTGGAAGATTTTTCCTAAAAAAGAGGGAGATTTAATAATTTGCAATAAACAAAGAAGGAAGTTCAGACATCATAAATAGGGAGATTTCTTTAATTTGTAAAAATACCGCTTATTTTAAGAAAAATTGTCGAAAATATGGCTGCAGAAAGAGGGAGTCTCCCGCTTAAAGTAGAATAGGGACACTTTGCGAACTTTTGAGTAGCGTCTTGAAAATTGGCATGCAAAAAGTTGACCATATTTCTGGTTAGGTTCCGTTGATTTTATTTCAATAGTTTAAGCCAATTTTTGTACACACGGCCTCAAAGTTGACTATCAAAGCCCGTTTTTTAACATGACGTCGTTGCGTATCCTTTGCAACTGTTACAGGTATTTCAATGCCATTAGTAAGTAAGTAAGTAACGACTTTAAGGCTTACACATTCAGTTTCCCGATCTTCCATGTGGGTCTCAGCACAACATTATTACAATCAGTTTACATGTACACAACATATACACAACATATATACACATATATTATCAAAATAGATCAATTAAATTGAAGTAATGATTGATAAAGCAAAAAATGATATGATTGTACAACAATACAGAGAAAAAGAGCAATATGTACAGATAGGTAAAACTAACATAGTACCTGTTTAAAACAATATTTAGTACCTATTTAAAACAATATTTATACTTATAAATACACCATGGAAATTCAAATGATAATTTAATTGATATTATTATCTAATACATATTGGCTCATGAGTTATTTTAAAATATAACTAAAATATATCTATATATATACATAAATTTAAGTTCAATTGGAGTAGGAAATCATCATTTGGCATCATTGAATCATATCCCCTATTGGGAAAATATGGGACAAAAGTAAAAGAAACGATAACAATAGTAATAATAAAAATACATAAAAGTAATTTATACAACAGGAATAAATCAACAGCTTGTTTAAGGTGAAAACTGCCATTTGATATAAGCCGATTGAAATTTCCGAAGAGTATCGGAATTTTTTATATGTACTGGTATGTCATTCCATATTTTTGGTCCAGAGTATGCAAATGATTTTCTGAAGAATTCTGTTTTAGGTTTTGGTATAATTAGCTTTGCATTTTGTGCTGATCTGAGGTTTAAGTTGTGCCTTTCATTTACTGTCTGGAATTTATTTTTCATATATGTTTGAAAGTCAGGTTCATTAATTGATTTATACATACGAATTGACTTTTTGTATATGATTCTTTGGTCAGAAGGAGTATTCTTGCTGCCCTTTTTTGAAATTTAATGACATCAGATAGTAATTCGTTATTGCAGTTTCCCCAAATAATACAACAGTAGTCCAAGTGAGGCAGTATGTATGCATTAAAAAAAAGTTTTCTTGAATGAAGATTAAGATACTGTTTAAGTCTAAGAAGTAAATACAGCTGTGAGTTTGCATTTTTTTTATGCCCCCACAATGTGGGAGCATATAGCGTTGCACTTGTCCGTCCGTCCGTCAGTCAGTCCGTCCGTTTTCGTCAGTCCGTCTGTACGTCCCGAAATCTTTGTGAACGCAAACTCCTCTTAAACCGGATGGCAGATTTTGCTTAAACTTACAGGGATGAACAACCTTTAATGTGTAGATAGCAGTAAAGGAAGGAATTTTGCTGCAACCAAATTTAACAGAATTATGGCCCTTTGTTTGATTTTTTCACTAGATACTATGTAGAAATTTTGTGAACGCAACTCCTCTTAAACCGGATGGCAGATTTTGCTTAAAAACTTACAGGGATGAACAACCTTAATGTGCAGATGGTAGTAAAGGAAGGAATTTTTTTGCTGCGACCAAATTTAACCAGAATTATGGCCCTTTGTTGATTTTTTCACTATATACTATGTAGAAATTTTGTTGAACGCAACTCCTCTTAAACCGGATGGCAGATTTTGCTTAAACTTACAGGGATGAACAACCTTAATGTGTAGATGGCAGTAAAGGAAGGAATTTTTTGCTGCAACCAAAATTTAACAGAATTATGGCCCTTTGTTGATTTTTTATCACTAGATACTATGTAGAAATTTTTGTGAACGCAAAACTCCTCTTCTAAACCGGATGGCAGATTTTGCTTAAACTTACAGGATGAACAACCTTAAATGTGTAGATGGCAGTAAAGGAAGGAATTTTTTGCTGCGACCAAATTTAACAGAATTAATGGCCCTTTGTTGATTTTTAGTTTTCAACTTGTGGCACATGTAGTCCAAAAAATATTTGACACTAGAGTCATAAGATTTGACAGAACAGTGGCGTGTG